AAAAAAAAAAAAAAAAAAAAAAAAAAAAATAAAAAAAAATGCGGTGATTTGAAAATGAGAGGCACAAAGAGCAAATCAAGGATCATCGCAATTCCTTTAGACTAAGCAAATAAGGGCTAAGCAGCAAACGTTAGTCTCTCAGTGTTGCGATCAACTCTCTCTAACCAAAAAACAGATTCGAGTCAGCCAAAGACTGGAGGTGCCATTATCAAAACAGATCAACCATCATTCCAACACGGACCAATCCTGAATGCAGAAGATGACCTGGCTCCACCCCTGTAATGCAATACTATCATCAAAAAGAGGGACAAAATCAAGGTACTGCTGACTTCTGTGCAGCCAGGATCTTGCCCAGGGCAGAGGAGATTTTTTTCTGGAGCAAAGATGGTAATTATAAACTATGAATTTAGAAGCAAACCTTAATTAGATTTTCACAATAACCTAAACAGGAAATAAGACTGTTTGGTAAATCAATTCAAGCCAAGTTGGTCAAACAACAACTGGTATACACCGGTTGCTATTTGGTTTAATTTTCAGCACATTAAAGGTAACTGAAGATACCACTGGCATTCCGAGTCTGGCAAGGTGAACTGTAACTGAGCAAGCCAAAAACTGAAAGCAAGTCTACCTGTACGTGTAGTTCCTCCGCCAGGTGGAGCTTTGGCAGCCATATCATCCCACCGTAAGCTGGCCCACAGTAACCTCAACATAAGGCTCACCCCAGCCAAAGATTTTACAGTTTGAAGTCGGTATCTAGGACAAGCCACAAAGAAAAAAAAAAATCACAGGATATTAGTTATGTTCTAAAATGAGAATGCAAAACTTGAATTTTTACCCAAACCAGTCTCTGCAGTTTTCTCCATTTTACCTTCTCAGAATAGAAGAAGCATGGGCATTTGTAATTCATTCTGTGCCTGCAAAACTGTTTTGTCTGCATACTACTTTTGACCTTCAGGAAGCTGTTTACTGAATTCAACAGGTAAATCAAGGCTATGTATCTGGAGAGCCCACACATACTTTACCACACAATGAGACAAACTTCTGTATCAAGCACCCTTAACTTTTGTGGCATTGTTCACATCTCGAATCCTCACATTCCCATCACCTGGCAAAAGGCATGTGGAAGAGATGCAAGTTTTAACATTCTGAAGTGTAACCGAATAGGAAGTATTTTTCATAGTTTCATAGTTTCTAGGGTCGGAAGGGACCTGAGAAGATCATCTAGTCCAATGTCCGATATCTAGTTTTATTAGATATCCTACCAGGTCATGATTAGGAAAACCCAAATTAAACCTTTCCACTTTTTCATCAGTAAACTAAATAGGACCATCTCTAGGATTTCTGTAGTAGACTTGCATTTAAATGCTCCAAATGAAGAAACACTGAACACTTAACATTACTTGAACCAAGATTAAAGTAAGTTGAAGAAGAATGCATATGACCTTTCTGTTTTGAAAGTGGATGCAGCGAAGCACTGTTACCTGTTAATGGCACTGCAGAAGACCTACTGCTTATAAAAAAGTTTCTGCAAGTTTATTCTTATATGTGACAGAAAAAAGAGAGAAAAACCACATGCAGCCTCCCTTCTCAAGTTGCTAAAGGGTATATGTGCACAGACATACCTCGTCTTAGGATGATCAGCTTCGGAGAAGATTGGGAGTGATCAAACATTACTGATGTGGAGAGGATTTTGTCAAAATGATTGGGAAGCTGAAGCAGCATGGGAAAGTGACTAACTAAAGGTGTCTTGCTTTGAAACATGTCTAAGAATGAAAACTTACAGGACTTAAATGGAGAGGAGAGGTAAAGAGCAGCACAGGATAGACAAGTATGGCAGAATCCTAAGCAACACCTGACAGCCTGGGAAGGATCCAGATTTAAGTTATTCAAAAATGGCTATTAACAGTAACTTCTACAGCTGGAAGGAGTTTACCTGAAGGTTACTGAGGAACATGTATTAGAAACCTCTCATAAAGGTAGCTGAGAAGTTAGCTGCATATCTGCAGGTCCATGAACTGCAACACTTTTTCTGCAGGAGTATGTAAATCCCTCCCAGGCACAGAAATGGACTTTGTAATTCACCTCGCTAGAGGAACAATAATGATGTATAACATATGCAAAATAATTTTGATTCCAAAGAGTGTCAAAGCCTGTTCTTAATACTTAAAGGTTTTACAACAGTAGATGGTTTTCATGCTGAGAACTAACTAGGATTTTTTGACTAAAGAACTGAACCTGCAATGGAAATACTTTTTGCCTATTTCAGTGGGAGAATAACCATGCCTTCAAGACAGGGGTGCTCAACCTCTGGCCCATGAGCCAAATGCAGCTCATGGAGCCATAGCATCTGGTTTATGGGGCTCCCCACAGGTCAGGACATTTAATGATGGGAGAGCGGTGCTAAGAAATGATGCCATCTCTTGCCTGCTGCCAAATCTCCAAGCCCATCAGGGCTAGGTCAGGTTCCCTTCAACCGCTGTGCAGGCAGATTGGGGTCAGGCCATGCCCTCTTCCCTGCCACATTGCTGGATCAGGACCAGGCCATACGCATGTCTCGCTCCCCACCCTGCCACACAGCCAGATCAGGGCTGGATCTGGCCCACAGACACTCAGAGTACCATCCTTCCAGCCCCAAGTGCAAAAAGGTTGGGCACCCCAGCCTTAAGTCTAGTGTGGTCATCTGGAAAAATATGAAAAATTATGCATAAGCAGCAAGATTCACAATATACCATGTGGACTCACTTAAATCCAACTATACAAAGGATTTTATTTTCTTGCTATTAAAAATAGCACTCTCAAATTTCAGGAAGAATAGAAAGTTAGAGGGGGAAAGAGATACCCAAGCTAATTCACCCCAATGAAAAACACTTACTTAAACATGGTCATAGCTATACTGCATTAGATCACCTCTTACACTTCCACAAGCCATAAACATACATTTTAACCTTCAAAGAAACTAGGTACGCTGAACTTTTTCCTTACCATTTCCCACTGTTGCACTTTCAACTGATGGCATTGCCAGCATAGTCTAGTTGCTATTGTATTAAGCATCACATCTAGTACAGACAAGGCCACCACCTAAACAAGGAACCTTATTATGTTCATATCAAGCTTTCTCCACAAAACATAAGCATATAGACCAAAGAAAATTTATAAAAATGCAGGTGAGCCACAACCATGTTTAAACATTGTTATTTTACCAAATTAGGCAGGGCTTCAGTCAAAACTATTTTGTTCAAACTTAAATTATTCCAGATGTTCACTAAGTATTGATAAAGCCAAGGCTCCACTTCCACCTGTCTTTAAACAGAATCAGCTGCAATTAAATCTACTTCTACTTCCCCTGCCCCACCTCTTACTTTCTGCAGACATGCCCAAACAATGATTGTGTTACAGTAAACCTGGCTAGGCTCTGACACTTCTTAAAATCTTGTTTGGATCTATCCAACCTGGAGGTTCAGCACTGATGTACACAGAAACAAAAAGTAACTAAGGGTATGTCTATACTACACCACGTTTTGCTGAGAAAAGATAGCAAAGTAATTTGGTTGCTGGGCACAGTTTAGCCATGACAGCACAAAGCTGTGGGAAGGCTAATTTACCTATTAAGAAATAAATCGTCTCTATCTGCTAAGCTCAGTTTTGCTGGCCAAACTCTGGAGTGCAGGAACGCTCAAAGCTGTTTTGCAGCAGCACAATCCTCCATTGCTGACCATTACTCCATCTCAGGGAGCAGAGTCAGGCTCTTGCCACCACCCAGCAGGTAGGGGAAGGAGCATGGAGACCCAACAGCTAGTCAACCTCGGCCCATTCAGCAACTGGTGCCCTCACAGAGTTCACTTTGAACTCTGGCAATATAGGCTGTAGTGGATGTGGATAAAGCTACAAGAGACATGCTGCTATGCACATGGCTCTGGTGGCCTGGCAGTGACGGCGGATGTCTGCTGCCACATGGCTGATGTCTACTGCCAGAACGCCAGGCAGCAGAGAAAGCTTAGAGTAGGAAGCCATAGCTACACAGAGCTCCATGCGCCTTTTGTCGTTTCAGTGGAAAACCCCCAATATAAAAGCCAGTAAAAACACAATACACAATACAAGACAAAAAATGCTTTGCGTGAGAAACTTCAGCCCACCTCAAGTTTCTTTAAAAAGCTCCATACATACATACATACCTCCAAGCTCCATACATACTTACCTCCAAGTGATACCAAAAGTTGGTCTTGGGGATGGATAGGGCCAGATATCCACAGCAGGTTTTGCATTGTAGTTGAAATAGGGAACCTCCCTAATACCTCCTTTCCTGGCCAGCTTTTTTAAGTCATCGTTGGGTAAAACAAATATGCTCTTTTTACTGCTTTTGGTAACAAATTTTCTGTAAGATGGTAAGGCAGTTCCAGAACGAGCCTTTTTGGGTTTTGAAAATTTCATCAACTTCACTTTGTCTCTTGTGGAATACTCCTTGCTAACAGTCATGGAAGTCACTAGCGTGCCTTCTGGTGTAGTCAAAGAATCAGTGACGGTTGTTGTAACCACCGTTTTACTACTACGCTCCTGAACAGAGATGACGTCAACGTTGCTGTCAGGGATTGGCGAGGTTAGCTTAGTGACAGTGGTTGTAGTTGTTACAGTGGAAATGGCACAATTTTCCGTGGATGACACCACCGTTTGCTTATCGTCTTTGAAAGGTGACAGCTCTGCTACTTTAAATACAGTTTTGGATTCTGTGGAAACAGTCGATGTTGTGGTGGTGGTTACCTCTGTAATAACAGTTTTTATTTTATTGTCGCCATTGATGTTGTCAACTTTGTTATACGTCTGCAGGCCATTCTGATCGGTGAAGTCACTACTCAAGCTAGATTCTTCGCAAGAAGTTACAGGTGAGGGAGCAATATTTTTATCCTCAGGAGTTTCGGTTTCCATGCATTCTGCCTCATTGCCCACGTTGTTTTCTTTACAGAAAAGCTGTGCTGGTATGAAAGCACTGTCAGAGCCCGCTCTTTCAGGAGAATGCTGCTTTTCGCCAGTATTTTGCACACATTTGGGCACTTTATCTGGAAGCAGAAGATTTCCTGGAGATTCATCACCTACCTCCATCGAACTCTGTGAACACGATCTAGTGCCCAAGCTGTTTTTTTCATTTGTGTCTTGTACAGTGATATCACCATTCATGAAAGGCTTCACAGAGGAATCTTTAAGAGCCAGTGGTTTTATTTCATGTTCAGGGATGGATTTACTAATATTATTGACTTTTGGTTCAATATCACTTCCTACCTTAGTATCACAGGTATCTTTCAGTAAACATTCATCGTTTGACAATACTTTAATCTCATTGTCTTTTCCATTAATCTGAAATGCAGCTGATTCATCTTTTTCTAGAGTCTCTGTTTCTCCATTCCTATTATTCTTTTTATCAGTAATACCTTTTAGATTCATCTGATCAAGACATTTGTTTATGGTACTTGCCTCTAGTTTCTGTTCCTGACTTTGCTTTTCACCATTGGCTTCAGTAAGTTTAGAGTTCACCAAGTCATCACTAACATTTGTTCCATCCATATGCTCCAGACTCTGACTTTCAAGTGTTTCTTCTGAAGTCAGCATAGTTTTTAATGGTTCTAAACTTTTACTGACTTGCTTCCGATTAAACAGGACCCTGTTTTCAGATTTACTTTCAGTGTTTTTCTGAGTAATACTTTTTCCCTCATCTTCGTGAAGGGACGCCAATTCAGAACAGCTTTTCAAGGTGCAGTTGTTTTCTGGATCACAGACTTGTTTTGCAGAATTTTCTTCTGGCTGTACTTTTGCAGCAATGGGAAAAGTATCATCTCCTTCACAGCCACTTTCAGTGGATGGTAAAGAGTTTTCACATACAGTCTGAGACACTCTTGTATTAGGTAGTTTTTGTTCTGAGGTTTTTGCATTGTTTTCCAAGATACCGCAATTGTTCTTTTCTTCAGTATCTGTTTGTTTTAAGTCATCCATGGGGGGATTCTCAGTCATTCTCTCTTTAAGAATTTCTTGTCCTTGACTTTTATCAGCAGCCATAGGCTCAGGATGACTTTCTTTAGTGTCACTCTGAACTGAACTCTGAGTCTCAGAGCAGTGATCAGAGGCTACATCTTCTATTTTTGAGAGTCTATTCAAGGAAGGTAAAGACGGGTGATCTGGCTCACTGGTATTGGTACAAGAGACACTGCTGGTTGGCAAGCAGTCCTGAAATGAATCTTCAGTTTGGCTCTTACCTGAAACATGAACTCTATCTTGGAGAGATATGTCAATCTGACTTCCTTCTTTTAATTTACTTGTTTGTGGCTCATCTATGTTTTTTTGTGGGCTTAAAGATATATTGCCTATAGATTTAGCACTAGCCTCCAACTTTATTCTTTCTAGGCGCTGTTTTTCTTCCAGTGTAAACTGTTTTACTCTTCTTTCAAGCAGTCCATCTAATTTTGATGATTTTACTTTCCTTTTGTAGCACGTCCTTAAATGAAAGCCCTGGCTGACATTGATTATATCTACTTTAGAATGACCATCCTCATTTTTTGTAGGCGATTCAAGTTTTATGTCATCCACTTCCATGGGTTCTTCTTTGATGACTTTATCATTTTCAGACTCAGTGTCTTTTTCCACTGTGAACAATAAATATATCAGAATCAGTAAAACCTATTGGAATGAAACAATATCACAACAACTGTTTAAATTTTTTCATTAAGTGTTAAGGCATAATCAGAAACATCAAGATTTCACAAGTCACCCCGTTGCAAAAACCCAGGTTGTACAAAAGACAGTAATTAAAACTACCCAAGTGACTGCCTATTATTAAATGATTGTCATAGAATTTACAAACATCTTTGCCACAGACAAACTCAAAGTTAGAAAGAATGGCTGGAAGATTTCTTGTGTTTTTACATTGTATTTTATATACAGCTAGCTTATGTGGCACATATAAAGGCTGAACTATTTTCAGATGTGAAAAGTGTCTATATTTATATTACCTTTGTCTTTTGCATGATCTAGGTTTTCAGAATTGATATCAATTTTCACTTTTTCTTCATGCAATTTATTTTCTTCCTTTGGTTGGACTTTCCCCAAGATTTCAGAAGTTTTCATTTCTGTTTGGTCCTTTGCTTGTCGATCCTGAGAATCTTTTATTCTGCCTTTCAAAGAATCAGTCTCTATTTTTACTTTTGTTGTACTTTTTCTTTTATCCAGTTCACACCGATTTTCAATGGTGACATCATCATTCTTTGCTATTAACAAATTAATGAGAAAGTTTTAAATATTTCTGCTTGCTCAGAGTCATGTATATTTTGTTGTGATGCAATAATTTTCTTCTTGTTTTACAAGCATGGAGTAATTTTACCTTTATGCTCTCCTTTCCACCAAGTTAACCAGTCTCATGGTTAAAATGCAAAAACAGAATCCATCAATTGAACAATACATTAAGAAATTTAAATGTACATAAAAACACGTGTGCTGCGAAGTCAACTCTTGATCCCGCTGAAGGAAGTAGGAGGGAAAGAAGGGGGGAAGTTGCCCTATGGGAGCAGAGACAGGCTCTCAGATACAGATTTTAAAGAGTAACTAGCAACTTTAGGGAACTGATTCAGAACACTTTATAAAAATTAACCAATTCTCAAAAGCACTAAGCCTCTGTAAACCAGGCTTCCTAAAAGTTATTTGGATTGGGCTCCAAAAATTCATTAGTTACTTCCTGAAACTTTGAGTCTATATGTTTTAATTCCTAGATGGATATTATCCAATTGACTGATACTCTGTGCTTGAAATCACAGTGGCTATCAACCAAATTCCTGAGACAACAGTAAACTACCACAGCAGTTAGGTGTGCAAAACTTAAAAAGGCAGTGTCCATTGTCTGTCTATAGTTAAGCACAGCAGAGAACCTGTATTTTTTGTGGGTTCAGCAAGTCCCCCCCACAAACTCCCAAAGATAATTTAGTATCTGTAAATTCACCCACAATTTCCTAAAATGTAGGAGGAATCTCAAGATTCCCAAGAAAACTGTTATTCTAAATAAAACTTCAGATGACTAATCAACAGAACCAAGTAAAACTTAAATTTGGAGGCAACTAACTGCATGAGAGACATTTTTCTCAAGTCTCCTGCAGAGAACAGTTTCCCCTAATGACTGCAAGCTGTAGTTTAAGCTGTGCTTTCCATAGTCATGTATATTCTATAAACTGTCCTAATCTGATAAACTGAGCCAATTTAAATTCCAGGACACTGAAAATAGGTTATTTAAAGAAAGACAGTAAAATCAAATCCTAAAAATGTACCTTACCTGGGAGTTTATTTAGAATAAAGCCTACATACCTAGGATAATTTTGATAAAGTTACCTGAATAGGCAGTTAATTCAGATAGTGCACTATTAATTCAAAATAAAGACAATTCACACTTACTTGGTAGTAATTTTCTGTAATTGACATTAGTATTTCCGGGTAATTTAGGCACAAATCTATGAACGTGCGTTTTACTAATCCAGCTCCAACCACCATAGCCTGTTACTCTATATTCTTCTCCTTTTTGTTTCCAAACCTGTTAAATATGTTACAACATTAATCCTTTTTAAAAATATAGCTGTTTACCAAAACCTGTAAAGGAAATGGGCTTAAAGAGGAGGAAGCACTGCCAGATCACAGGCTACTTTGCACTTGCACAGCTTTTTCATGTATATGTGATGTTAGGAAGAAAGCAAAATGTCTTGAAATAAGATTTCACACACACAATGATCTAAAAGAAACGTAACCATGCAGCCTCGGTTTTCTTATTTCAAAATAACTAAGTCTGTTTATGTCTGTTAGTCCATAAACTATGTCTATTGCTATCTATAACAGTCAGTCTGTCCAACACAAAAAACAAGTGCTGCCTTTGCCTGAAAGACTGACAAGCAGAAGCAAGCAACCCAATTCCACGATAAATCACAACTGAGAGAAAATAAATAGATTTGTATTGTAATCTTTTTCATTTCACATTTCTTTTCATTAAAACTCAAGATTTCTCTTTTCAAAGAACAACACTGTATTCACCTAGATATTAAAAGGCTTGTGTTGTGTATCATAAATAAAAGTGTCAACTTGGTCCACCTCAAGTTTTGAGATCCAGAAATAATGCCAAAAATGTAAGGCCAAATTCTGTCTTTAAATATTTGGACAGGCTCTCAAATGATATTAAAGGGAGCAATGCACAAGCCACAAAGGGAGACATCTGGTTACTAACATCTTATGTCTGAAATTCAATTGTAAAAAGGACAAATAAGCAGAAAACAAAGCTTTTCATTACTCCAAGATAAAATGCTAAACAGAAGTGTACCTGATGTTTGATAGGGAAGGTATATTTCACCCAAGTAGCTTGCTGCATTGTTTCTTCCTCCTCCTGTTTTCTCTCCTTTTTTTTCACCTTTTCCTTTTCCTCTCTCTCAATTGCTGTCATTCTGTGTAATCTAATACATGAAATTTGGGAAATATTAAATAGGTGGCATACTTCCATATTACGTAACAGTTTGAGAGCAAATTAAATAACTCGAACAATAGCATACATTGACCCTTTGAATAAATTTTAATATTTCAATTGAGGGGGAGAATTAACAATAAAAAATTAGGTTAAGGAATGATCTAATCATCTATATTTCATTATCACATCATCATTTTGCTGAGTATTTAAACCACTGCAAATACAATTGATTGAAATAGTATTCAGTATTAGGAACGTTAGTCCCACTCTTATGACAAGATGAGAAGCATCTCTTTTCACTGCTGCTTTCTTGGACTTCCCATTCATGTCACTTTGAGGCTCGGGCTTAGGTAATAACCTGGCTGAAGAAAAGGCTTTTCCTGAAACAAGATAATTCAACTAGGCATAAATGTCCATAGAGAATTTCAGTGTCAGGTGTTAGAAGAGAACATTTTATTTTTAAGGGGCATGGGTATAAGCAGTCATGATTCTTATTGTTTTAGGGAATCTAGTGGCTGCAGAACAGAGTACTGATGCTTAACATTCATAAGGATTCTCTTACCTGGTGTGCCCCAGGGACTCCCGCCAGATTGGCAGCATGACAACTGGCTTAATTGCACACTCCAGTATTGCCAGAGCCAGTGCAAATTCTCTAGGTTTGCTACACATTTGGACAGCCTTAATCCAGTTAGACCTACATTTGAAAGAATACAAAATATACTGGGTTAATGCTTGTGCGCACTATGTCAGTAAGTTTTTAAATTAGACTGAGTAAACTACATGCTGATGTCTTTATAAAAAGGCTGAGTAGTTTTAGTCATTCCTTCATAATAACATGCAAGCAAATTTCTTCTTTGTTTATGCAAGTGCTATGACAAAGTAATGTTCTTACATAAAACTGTGCAAGCTGAAATATTTAATATTTCTTTACCTGTGGGAAGCCCAGTTGGGATGAAGGAATGATGCAGGGATGTTGTTCTCTAGCTGAATGATAGTTAGCCTCAAAGTGGATATGGTAAGAACCTTGGACCCATGTACAGAGCCATTCCATTTGAACTCTCCAGCAGGAGTCAGACAAAACTTATGTGAGAGGTGCCGTCTCTTGTCGTGGTCTTCTCTATGCTGGTGTTTGTTCAATGCGAATGAATTGGTGGCATACTGATTGTGATACACACGGTACTTCCCCTCTTGCCCCAACTTAAAATAATTGTTGAGATTTCCTTTCATCACAACTTCTTTCTTGGCATTCAGCCGAGAGACTTCTCCTTGGGTGTTGACCACAAGAACCTGATTAAGTAAACATTTTTTTAATTAATTCACTCATTTAAATAATTTTATTGCATTCCTATTTATAATGAACAACTCCTTAAGCTGTCTCGGTACATTATTTATCTCCAGTGAACCACAAATATGATTACAGATTGCCTTTGGGAGTATTAGATTAAAAAATTTTAGCCTAGCCACCCATGTGATAAATACAGCCTTTATTACTAAATTAAGAACTGTAGCAAAGAAATTTCAACACACTTGATCAAAACCTGGGACAAAAATGCATGTAGGCAGTCTAGACATGTATAACAACCCAGTCCATCACTGTCCTGAGCTTCTAAATGAAGGGAAGGGGCTCTCCTCTATTCTTTTACTGTTGCACCCATCAGTAATTCAGAAGTTACCAGCAAAGTGAGAGAGAGAGAGATAGAAAGTGAGATGGGAAAGGCAACCTTTGATGTGGTAATTCCAGCACCCGAGTCTCTCAGGTACACTCACATCTTCCAATGCCAGTAGTCCTCATTTTGCTCAGAGAGGAACATTCACATAAACAGCATAATCCTGTGTTTTAGAAATTCTTAACACAAATACAAACCTCTCGGCCTTCTTTAAATAACTTATTTGCTTCATGTGCTGCAGCAGCGACCTGCTGGTTTTTCATCTGGCTTAGCTTACTATCCGGATTTCGTAGTCTGGTGACCATTCGAGTTGAACCAGGGGTACCTTTCCCTGTCCCTGGAGAATCACTTCTTTCACCATTCGATTTCTCTGCTGCGCCACCCACACAAAGAAGATTTTAAACAAAGAAGCAAAGAATGAGACTGTGAATATGGAATTTTGCTGATTAACATAAGAAAATTATAAAATTTAAGAATAAAAGTCAGAACAAGACTAGCAAAGTTATTATTTTACCTGTCTCCTCTGAGGTCTGTGATCCTCTTTCGCCATTTTCAGCATCTTCAGACATCTGCATGGAGTTCAGGTCACTGCTGTTGCTGTTTTCAAAGTTTGACTGCAGGGGCACAGTGGATACACTAGCACTGCTGCTGGGAATCATCTCACCAGTTTCCTCTAAAAAAGAAAAACCTGATTTTTAGATTTTTTGTTTCCTGTATCCAGGCAAGCTTATCTTTCTCCCCCTTTTTAGACATAATTCTCAAAAAAGTTGGATGAGCTACTGAAACTATACTTCTCTTTGCTAGACTGGAGAGAAATACCTGTAAGATGGGGTCTCCCATCCAAAGGACCGCATCCTTCGAAGGAGAAAGCATTTTTAAAAATTTTCATAGATTAAACAGACACACTTAAGTAAACTGTGCCCTTAAAAGGAAGTTTAATAAAAGAAAGGGCAGAAATATATCTATTTTGTGTGTGTGTGTATTTTTTTTTTAAACATGTGCACTTGAACATCCCTCCACTGAAGCATTTAGTCCCTGCCCCAAAATAAACTCTTGAAATCCTTCCCTCTTGGCTTCTGTGATACTCTCCTTTCTTGGTTCCCTTTTCCCTTTCTACCTATTCCTTCAAAAGACCCTTTTTAGCCTCCCAGCTTTCTGCAGAGGTCCAATAGACTGTATCCTTGGTTCCCTTCTTGTTCCTCTTCACCTTAGTTCTTGATCGTCTCATCCACAAACAAATTCAACTACAAATCACCAAGATAGCAGTCCAGAGCTATCCATCTTTCCCAACTAAAATCTCAGCCTGCATCAACATCTCTCAACTGGATGTCTAGCCATCCCCTTAAACTCAATCCTCCATATCCTCACATCCCAGCTATGCCTCTATTCTTCTTGAGAATCTATATTACATGTCTAAAACACAGTACTTCCCATCTATCCAGACAACTAAAACTACTGTTGAGGCCTTTTACCACCATATCCTTGTTCTCATACTCTCAAATGCAATCTTGCTCCACTTGCACGCATACAGAATGCTGCTATACAGAGCAGAGCATTCCTAGCTTATCACTTGGACCCTTACCCGCCTCTAGGCATCCCTCTACTGGCTCTCCTTCTTCAACCGAGTTGCACAACAACTGTTTATTTTCACTTTCAAAGCCTCTCTCTATCATTTTTCACCCAGAATTGAAGTCAGCTCCCATATCACATGGACCTTATAATACCAACATCTACTGCCCCTATGTCAGATCTTCAAACACCACCTTAGGGCTACCTCTCATGCTGTCCTTCAAGTTTGGGAGGACCACTCTAAAAAACCACAAAACTATCCCATTAAACTTCAAATCCATCCTTAAAACACAAAAATACAGCTAAGCTGCTAATGATGCTGACCAATACTGTTTTATTCTTTCAATGTACATCTGTCTGTCACCTTCTGTCTTCTATTTAGATCACAGGGTCTGAAATTGGAACTGTATATGCATCGTACAGTGCTTACTAGCACAATGCATTTCCAGTTCAAGACTAGAGCTTCCAGCCATTACAGTAACATGAATAATATAAACATGTAATAAAAATTAGTACTGTGCTAATGCATGGAAATGGAAAAAATGACTAGTTTGTTTGCATTATCCATAATGAGGAATAAAAAACAAAATAGAAAACTGATATTTTTCACTTCAATTTTAATAAACAGAGCTACTATTAGTAATGCAAATAAGTAAGTTTTTATTTTTTAAGCTGGCAGTTCCTCATGAAGTAAAGCTCTCAATCCACATTTTAAATTCACCATTCCTAAATTAGATGCAATTAGCTACCACTGCTTAGCTCGGTCCTCATCATCTAGAATTAAACGCGAAGACGATGAATATATGTTCTGATGGGATGAGCTAAAGATTTTCAACATAAAAATGCCCATCCATATATACACTGAAAGAAAATTTCCTTTAGAGCATTCATACAAATTCTACGTAGCCAAGGTGTTTAGGTACGGGCATGAGAGAGACTCACTATGCATTATCCTTAACGATTGTTAAGGGTATTTTTTGACAGTTAATGGCAGAAATTCAGAGTTCATGGCAGCTGGGACCACCTGGTGTTTGGGGAAGAGAAAGAAGAGGCCCCCCACGTACACCCAAATGAGGAACCAAGGTCCAGAGTGGTATTCAACCAGAAGTAATATGGTTGGCACGGCAGTCCCAGTTCCTCGCACATGGGAATGAATGCCCGCCTCGTATATGCTCAAAGCCCTTCCCTCCTGAATGAAGAGCCCTGTAGCATGCCCAACTGTCAGCTAGTAAAGTATGAGGAGAGAGCTGGAGGCACCTCCTTAAGCAGAATAAAAAGCAACCCATATTCCAAAGTGACACATCTGTATAAAAGAATTTTTTAAACAACTAGGTAAATGCAGAAACATTTCAGAGTCTCTCTAAACCTCTACACTTTCCCCATCACTTTCTGTAATAGTCTTTATTTCCTTTTCAACTGAAAATGCATTCAATAGCTGACTTGTAAATGGGTGGTCTAAAAACCTTAAATTTAACGTTTTTGTCCCAAGAATAAGCATATTTTCCCTCTTGGGGATGCATGCAAAACTGCTAATACAACTAGCAAACAACCTGCTAAAATAAACAAGTAAAAAGTGGAGGAGAATATGGTAATTTAGGACAGAAGACCTGAATATAGCAAATCACACAATAAATTAAATAACCAACCCGAAAGCATTATAGTGTGCAAAGACATTTTGCTTTTGAAGCACAATGCAATCCTTTCCCAGTTACAAAGTTTTGAGAACAACATTCAAGTTCAGGATACTGGGTCTGCTTTATATTAAAGCTACGGTAGTCTCTCTGTAATATTGACAAGTGAAAAATGCAATTTTTGCAATTTTACATTTAATATTGGCTAATTTAAATAAACTTCTTTGATGCTAATATGGTTATGACACCAAATCTAAAACAAGTTTAACACTCTAAAATATAGGTATGGATTCAATGTACCAAATGTGCATTCTAAAATTAAAGTTGGAATATGCTATTGCTCTAAAAGTCATAGAATAAAGCAAAGCTTAAAATATAAAGCTATGAGAGCTATCTATATAAAAGTTATCAAGTTGCATTTTATGGATTTTGGGGGTCACCCAAGAATTTTCTCCAGGCAATCTAATAAACCCATTTGAATGAACGCAAGCACTGATTTCTCACTTGTTAGTAGTTTATATAGTACACAACAAGTTTAGTTATTTAACGGCCATTCGCAAACAAGAACTTGAAATACGGTTTTGTTGGATGTTAAACACCACTATGGTTTGCATGTGAAGAAAAAAATGTTAGAAGAGAATATGCAGAAAACAGGAACACAAAGAAGCTCAGCCATAACAATTGGAAGATGTGGAAGCAAATGCTAATGACAGGAAGGGGCTCTATACCCTGCACTAAATGCAAGGAAATTAACCTTGAAATGTTAGATGACAACGTAGCAGTAAAGGATGGCACTGCAAGCAAACAGCATGAGTGAACATACACTGTAAATGGTTTTAGTTGACAAACCAGAATTTAAGGAATATTAAGATTCCCCAAATTACAGAGGCATTGCTGTTGTGCCCTCTGTACCTGAGAGATCCTGGGGGAGCTCTGATGCCACCTTCTTCTCTGCCACATGGTTGCTATCAGAGGTTTCTGACTGAGACCCCACTGTGTTCTTCCCTTCAGAGGAACTAGTCTCTCCTGCAGGATTTGTGGTGTTGCCATCAGTGCTTGATGTCACAGAGATACTTTTATCCCCAACGACTGTTGGCTCTATAGTAAAATGCACAACAAAAATGTAACAGTATTCTAAAGACTGGCTTAGAATATCATGTGGCTTTACCCATGCTAAGAAGCATGTCGTGTCAAAATATAGCTAGTTCACCTCCACTGTAATGATAACAGTCTCTCGGGATCAAGGAATGCAAACAGACCAAAACCTACTAATTCTAATTAAAAGCAGCGTTAGAAGTCAGTCTTCTGATACTGGTGGATACGGGCTCCAGACATCTCAGAGCTAAAACTGGGTTATTTTGTAAAACAGCAGTAAAGAAATGTATTAATTCTCTGAAAAGTGAACAAGTACAGTGAGGAAAAGGTAATAATGAAGCCACAAAATAGGAGTCTTTTTACAAGTAATTAAAAAAAATCCTGGTAAGTGTTCTCAGAAGGATTTTTTTTAACATTAATATAACAAATTCATATCAAATGTTGCTATTCTTAAAGGAAAATGTAATTGCTAAACCAGTGCTGGATTCTTTACCTTCTGCTTTTCCTTTTTCTGACTCTTGTTCAGGTGACGTTTCCTCAGTTTTGTCCTGTAGTTGGTCTGCAGATTCCTCCTTGCTTTTTTCCAGATCTGTTTGGCCACTGTTTTCAGCCTCATTTTTGGCCTTCTCCGTTTCATCAGTTACTGAATTTTTATCTTCCACTATTTCTCCTCTTTTAATTCTCAGAGCATCCAAAATTTCATCTAGAGTAATAAAAATTGAAATGCAGACAACAAGTATCAAAAGACCCTTTACAAAACCCATAAGTTTAAATTGCTAAGTCATGAAATGTGAAAGGCATCTTCATTTAAAAGGACAAAAGCTAGGCACTTGGAGATAAAAGCACACTAAAATCTAGCTTCCCACCTTATTTTTCTGTTTTCAAACCACAGCCATTTTGAAGGCCCTTCTTGATTTCTTAGAATGAAGTAGTTGTGCACCAAACACACCCAAACCCACTTCCATTTTAATCCTTGGTTATTTTAAGTTTGATGTCTGATGCAGACATCAGTGGAAACAAAGTTCAGATGTTAAAGGAGCTGACTCAGCCCTTCTGTTCCAAGACAAATTAATTTAATTCATTTTTGTGGGGTGGGGTGGGGAGCTGCACGGGTATTAAAAAATCCTCACCTTTTTTTGGGGGTAAAATTAGGTGTTCACAAGAATTTTCAGAAAAATTACTGAATAATCTTCATGCAACTTGGAAATAGACCAGCATTTTTTGACTGCTGGCTAAAACAGAAAACAACTCTCTCTCCAATAATTTAACTCATTGTTTTAATTTGAGTGTAAAGCAGAGAGATGTATTTACAGAATCAGATTTGCCTCCAAAGAGGCTCTTCAGGCTATTTTTACATTACTTACACTGCTAATATAAATAAATTGAGCTGGCGTACAAATTTTTGACCAACTGCTTTTAGCTGAAGAATCCAGTTATGATGACTCAGCAATGTGTTCATTTCTACCCCCACTCCCAAAAATTCAAAAGGAAGGTTTCTCTCAGTGTCTTTTATGAAAAAATTTTCAGTTCATTTACATGAAGAATAAAAATGTTGAAAGTGTCAAAGTTCACACAAAATGCAATTCTTGCTTCTCAGCCAGGCGTCACGAAGTTCTCTGAGCACTTCGCCATTGAAATATTGACCGATTATAAACGTGGGGCTGTCTGGGCTCTCCCCTCCCTCCTCTGGCTTTTGCTGGCTGCCCCCACTCCAGGGGCAGGACAGCGCAGTGGGGCACAGCAGGGAGAGTGGAGAGTAGGCGTAGGGCCATGGCACGGGGAGTTAGACAGCCTGGCTATCAGTGAAGGGCACTCAAAGATGCCCTCCGCTGCTTACAGCTCAGACTTCATTTGTCGACATTCTCATCCAGCCAAGACCTTTTCCACGTGTCCTCTCATTCTTACTCCAATCCCACCTTGGCTTCCAGCACAGTACCAGTGATTTTATATGAACTGTGAAGTATGATTTTTTTTTTATTTTTGCCATCTCATATTCCCAGATCATTGTTTGCAGCTGCTTTGCTTACAACATACAGTGACATTTTTCTAGACTTCAAAATGTTAGTAATCAGATGCTTCAGCTAATGAAACTCCTTTCATCAACATATATAGTTTGAAACACTCAGCTAAAACCCTAATATTCAATTTAGTACAGCTGAAGTGACTTTGATGTGTTTTGTCTCTTAGAAAGAATAAAAGGTTTAAAAGGAAAAAAATGCATGTGCTATAGAATTAATTCCTTCACCAAGGTGACCTGAAAGAGGAATCTACACGCTAAGTATACAAACCATGAACTTCACCAGGCCACATGTGCAAAGCCGGGTCCAGACATAGCTTCTATACAAGTCAAGACGTCTTTTTGGGGTGAATTTCCCCTACTTGTTTTCTCTGCTTACAAGTTCCTTAAATTTTGTACTTCATTAAAGCAATCCAAAGAAGTCAGATTATACCAAGCGCCAAGTCACACTGACTTACAGAATTAGGTCTCTCTCATCAGAACAAAAATTTATTGTGCTTATTTCTACTCTTAATCCACATTCTTAACATACACATAAAGCATATTTTTTTCATTTAATACTAGCAGCAACATTATTTAATTACACTTAAGATATTAGTTTATTCAGTAGCACTTAATATTTGCTTTATATCAAACTGCTGGTTAGAAATTCTGACAAGTAACATTAATTTATAGCTCAGCAGCCAAGAAGAACACTGATGGCACTGGGCAACTGCAATAATAGGCTCAGACTTCAAATTTTAACCAAAAAAGATCTACAGAGAAGTGAAATATTATTAAAAATGTCAAGGCTGAATAACATTGTTAACTTACACTGACTGTCATATTTATCTTTATTAATGGTTGATAGGAAAACTGTCCCATTTCCTGGTTATTAGCAGGGATCCTGGTTTTCTCCAAAGTAAAAAAATCCTCAGATTTCGGTTACAAAAAAGTTACCCAAATCCACATTTTTTCATGATTAAAATGAAACAACACTATCTATCTACCTACCTGTTAGTGGTGTTTCATTTAAATCCTGGAAAATGTGGATTTGGGGTTACTTTTTTTTTTAAACCCAGAATTGAGGATTTTTTTTTAAATCAGAGAAAACCAGGAATCCTGCTAATTAGGAAGACCACTGCATACATATGGATATATCACACAGTATGCGAACAGAAGTTTAATGTAACTAAAAGTAAACAAGTTCTGTAGGCAATTCAGATATTATTTGCAGTCAATTCTATTTCCTTCTCCTCTATAAAATATCAGAGTTAGCATAAAAGGACAGTTACATTTTGGGACATCACCAATAATAAGAAGTAGTGACTTGTCTCCACTTAATTTTTGGTAATAGACACTGCCTTTATCCAATGTATTTCTGTCTTAAATGCCTAAATGGCACATTACATCAAAGAAAATGGAAATGCAACCTCTACCAAGCCTATATAGGCAAAGCAGGAAGCACATGTTTGCATAATGCATCTCATACTTCTTATAAACCAGAAACAGATCACTAGTTTAAAGTCAAGTCATACGACAACATTTAACATTCATTCTCACTAAGGGCAGAGGAGATATTCTTACCATTTGCTGCAGCCAGGAAAGATTTGTTGTTACCACGTGCTTTGTTAGTAAGATCTTCTGTAATATCCATATGCCGATGAACTTCCTCACGCATTTCTTCCAGAGTTTTGCAAAGGTCAGCTTCCCAGTAATCTTTATCTAGGCATTCAATTAACTCCGCTAGCTGGATCTTTGTGCTATAGTACCAGATTCTCTTCTCCTTCTCATTGTCTGAATCTTCCTCTCTGCAATAACAATTTTTTAAAAAGACTTTAGATACATGCAGAAAAAAAGAGACCACTTATCCCATCCCAGACTTTTTGAAGAAAATATTAAGTAAGAAAGCCTAAAGAAGGAGGAATTGTTAACATTTGTAGTTCACTTTAGGCTACTCAAGTTCAGCACACAAGTGACTCTTTTCACCTACAAATGTCCCTTTCCCCTCAACGTTATGTCCCCCTGCCCTCCAAAAGCTGCACTGCCACGACCACTTTCCCAGTAATAACTTCCTCATATTTGATTCATTTAGGTTGGATACAGGATTTGTTCAATTTATTTGCAAATCATCACAATGTTAAATGCCCTGCTCCATCCAGCTCTCCTAGACAGGACGCGTTATTTTGTTCAATACATTTTGATATACCAGAGTCAGGAAATTTGAGGATGGGGGACACTATAACCACAAGACATTCTGTATTACCATACGTATAGTGTACACTTGTACACAAGAGCACAAGAGTAACGGAGAAGCAAGCTCCACTTAGCTCTCAAGGATCTGGAGGTTGTGGCAGTCCAGCTGTTTTCTCCTCTCCACCTAAGGCTGCCCAGCAAACTTTCAACCAACCCAGATCCATAATGGGAAACTTGCTGGATTTTTCTCACTAACTCCCCCTTCTTGTGGGCTTTTCATAAGAAAGGGGGTAACCCAGCTTCATTAATTCAGGAATACAGAATCCTTGCAGTGATTGATCATCTATATTCAAGGACACATTCTATATTGGGAATATAAAAGTGAGCCAGATTGTCAGCAAATTCAAATATATTTAGGACAGAAATCCAAATTTCTTTTAAGCTGTATAATTATGAGGGGACTGGAAGTTGTTTCAATATTACTTTTAATATTAAACTGATGCTTTTCTAAATGTTATTTCAAAATGTGTTTTTAATCTTGACAAAAAACCTGGCATATTGCAAAATTGCCATTAGAAAGGACTTGCAAAAGGCATGAGAGTCTGGTTAATCAATTTACTCCTCTTATCTTTCTTCTATCATCTGAGAGTAATAGCTTAGCATATTTTCGTTTATTTTGAGAGGTTTCCAAGAAGTTGCTTATTTAAGAAAAATTTGCAGACTGTTCACATGTACCACATGTCAGAGGTATTCATTCAAAAAAAAGTTTATGTTGTCAGCCCTTTGCTCTTGGTCATCTCTGTGGAGTAATCCAATGCTTAGCCTCAACTGTATGTTTTTCTAGTTTAAGCCATATTTCATCTAAACCAAGAAAACGGATCTGCTCATGATAGGATCTGAAGCAGTTAAAATAAAGAGACTGTGGAAGCACAGAGGAGTGGAAATGAAAAAAAACAGTACATGGGGGAAGATACAGTATTTACATAGCAAGGAAAGAGAAAGTTAGAATGGAGTACAGAATGGAAAGAAAAAAAACTGGCAGAAGAATAAAGAGGAAGGGGAAGTGAACACATGCCTGCTGCATTGTATTTCTTTATTGCTCTTTTGTTGGATTTCCTTGGCAGACAGCCCACTGCAATGATAAGAGTGGGAAGGGATGGCAGAGCTGGTGTAGGGTCTAGACAGTCAGGTTACTGCTTACTAACATCATTTGCTGAGTGTATAATTGTTGATAAGCCCATCTTTTAATGGCATCACTATTTATCAACAGGCAGGTTTGTTTGCCATGCTGAGCTCCTGCTTTAGCTATAAAGTACATGAGATGCTTCATCTAGCAGATTTCTCTTTAGCTACCTGACCCATAATGCCACCCAGCTAGTCATCTGCTGCTGTGTGGACCATGTACTTATTTAATATAAATGCCTTCAAAGGCTGGCTTCCTTCCCTCCTCCTCATCTCACTTCTTCCCACCGTGTTGTAGCAAGGTTCCTTTAAAAATGTCACACCAAGGTATGAAATAACAGCTTAAATCCTATTTTTTTCTTTCCATTCCAGGAACGAATATCCATCTAAGGTGCTCAATATCCATTTAAGAAGTCTGCTGTGTTATGGACTAAGACCCCAACAAAACCAGGAACCATATAAAGATAAAAGGGTGCTAAATCACAAAGGGGTAAGAGTCAATGGGGTGACCTAGGACTCACTTTTTTAGATACGCTCAAACTCTAAGCAAGTGCTTTTCAACTGGGGAGCAATGGGACTCTGAAGTGTACTTCCTTGCACAGTACATCAAGCGTGCTCCTCTGAAGGTACATCTCCCTTGCACATGGAAAAGGAGCATCTACCCACATCCACTGAGGGTGCTGCTTAATTTAGAAAGTTACAGAAAGGTGCCTCAAGAAGTTGAAAGCTGCTGCTCTAACCACTCCACCTTTCGGATCACGTATGCACAATAACAAAACAACAGGGCTGGAAAATCTGTGCGTTTTCTCCCCCCTCATGCCACCCACTATTTTGAGTAAACGCAGAGAAGGCTGAAAGGGCAACTAGTGGCCATCTATAAACTTACCAGGAGGGATCAGCGGGGAATGGGTGAGACCCTGTTCCCCCGAGCACATCCCAGAGTAACAAGGAATAACAGCCACAAGTTGACTGAGAGTAGGTTCAGGCTAGACATCAGGAAGCACTACTGCTAAGTCAGGGCGGCTAGGATCTGGAACCAACTTTCAAGGGAAGTAGTGCTGGCTCCTGCCTCAGGGGTCTTTAAAAGGAGGCTTGATAACTACCTAGCTGGGGTCATATGAGCCCAGTATTCACTCCTGCCCAGGGCAGGGGGTTGGACTTGATGATCTGCTCAGGTCCCTTCTGACCCTACATCTATGAATCTGTGAAGCACAAAGATGTCTAGAAATGCACACCTGTACTAGCAGAGACTGCAGGTTTAGCAAGCTATTCCTATTCTCTGCTTATAGAGACATGAAAAATAAGAGCAGTTTACTTAAGCAGCAGGAGAAAACAAATCACTTTAGATATGTTACCCTCATGTCTGAAAAGAACAAAAGAAAAGAACAAAGCAAAAGAAGTTGGAATAACTTCTTTTAATAACCACGAGAGCTGGATAGTCTCAGCAAGACCAGCTTGTGTTTTATTACAATTATCAAAACAAGAACCAAAATTAACACAACTTGACTAGCCCACTACCTAGCCCTTTGGATTTGTAAGACTATCTCAAATTTTCTGATTTGTCAAACGACTTTAGCATTCAGAATTCCAGTCGCTTTAGTTTGAAGGCGACGAGACTAAAGAGAGGAATAACTGCATTTAATTCAGTAAGCAACCAAGTCTCCCCCTACCACCAAAATGATAAAGTGATGCTTTTACCCATAATATGAGGTAGACATTTTATAATGAATTAAATTATTAACGTCTAAAAAAGAATCAGTTCAGTTATTTGCCTGTTTATTTTTAGTCCCTAATTTATATGATTTTCCTCCCAATGGTATTCCCCAAAAGAATTCATGTATCCAAATTTCCATCATGCCCTTGTCTCTTTGGATGAAGGCCTTGGTAAATGAGGTAGCCAATTCTGACTCAAACAGCTTTAATAAGCAAAACCTTGACATCGATTCATGGGGTAAAACATGTAGAGTTTGTTCTCAATTTGGCTTTCAGTTCTGTATTTATTCACTAAAATCTCAAGGAGTTGTTTTTTGTGGTATCAACACACTAAAAAATATCATCTATGGGTGAGAAAAGCGTAAATCCCATTTGGAAGAATTGAGAGTAATGAACTGTGGAAGAAACAACTCTAACAGGCAAAACCCTCCTGCAAACAAGCAGTACAACTACTGCTCGGACAGGGAGAACTCTGAAGTCCGTAAGCTTCAATATACCTACAACATACACCCCAGAGACCAGGTGCAGCCTCTGGGACGCATCTTGTGTTAACCCTTAGCTTTCACTAGCTTTCCTGCTTTCATGGCTTGCAGAGAGAATCTATCAAATGTAAACTGATGCAGCGATTTCTACCCGAATCTGCAAACAGCTTGAAACAATGACTGGGGGGACTGATTTCCCTGTCCACTGTTAATCTGATGGAATTAAGATTTGCACAAAGCAGGAAGTAACGAGGATAAGAGAAAGTCTACTTTCCTTATCTTTGTGAAACAGTGAAAGGCTGGAAAAGGAAGAGAAACAAAAGGCAGACAGAAGTGGGTTTCACAAGAGCAGGTTTTCCTCAGGCAGTAATGTGACAATAAGGCCTATTCCAGTTGGTAGAGCAAAAAAGATGCTAAAAATATCCCCTAAAACAAATGGGTTAGCGTACACATGCTCAACCCCCAGCCTGTTGAGCTATGTCATCCAGCCCACAGGGTTTGCCAAGGGTCCAAAAATTTGGCAGCAAGGTAGCAGTGGTGGCAACTGGCATTTCCCTACTGCCATATATCCAGGCTGGTGGAGAGCCCCATGGGCTGGACAATATCCTAGTTCAATGCACAGAGGCAGTGTATGGCCACGATTTGATGGTGTGGGGTTGAGGGAGGTAGGATGGGGCCCAATCTGGCCAACTGACTGGCCCCACACCACTCATCCGGCCTGCTGCACCAAACAGCTGAGCACCACTGGGTTAGATGGAAAGCATGGTGATGGATGACAGCAACATTTCCAACACTGATTAAAAAATAAGTACTAAAGCATTCAAGCAAGGTATGGATTACACTTCTGGAGCCAAAAGGTGATACTGGGTGCACTAGAGGGCTTTTAGTTTTCTGCTTCCCTGGATATGGAACTAGTTATTACCACATATTTGTGCAAATTTTATTTAGATCTATCAGTTGTTTTTGATTTGGCTGTTCATAAGATGACATAGAGGAGCTGAATAAGAGCCACTCTCCAGAGTTTCATGCATTTCCAGAGCGCAACATTTGGCAGTCCCCCTTCTTTCCCATGGGGTTTGGCCTGGTCCAAACTCTCCCAGGGAATACTAAAAAATATTAAGGTTTTCAAAGCATGGATTGCTGGAACTTTAGTATGTTAATGATTTAATTCTGCATTTATCTTTGTGGACCTGGTTTGTTAGGGTGGGTCACTTAATCACTGCTTAGTGAAAGAACAG